CGCTTCCTTACCGGGTCCAGTCTCCCTCCTCCCTCCCCGCCCCCCGCGGTGAAGCGGGGTCACTGGCTTCCAGCAGGTGTGGGCGCGCAAAAAAAAGTGAGCGATCCGGGGGTCGGCGAGGCGACTTCTGGACCGTGTGGACGGATCTTTCATCCACGTGTCAGCGCCACGCTTGCTCCTGGAGGGATGCACCCACCCCGACTCTCAGCTGGGATGACATGGAGAAAGGGGTCCCCAGACCCCGAGGTTCCCAGCTCTTTGGCGCGCCTTCTCCCCTTCCCTTATCTGCTCTAAGTCCTCCCCACTGGGAAACCATATGAAGAGGGAAATCTAGAGAGGGAAACAGGAGGGACTGATCTGTAAGATGTTAACAGTGCTCACCCCCCCACCACCACCACCTTGTTACCTTGGGAGCCCCACCTGCCTCCTCCCACCCAGCTGCTCCCACCACACACATCTGGACTCGCCTTCCTCCCCAAACCAGGCAAACCCATCTCATATCACAGACAACCAACTCTCTAGAAACCTCCCGTGGTGTTGCCACACACAACCTCCTCACACGCAAACAGCCTTTGCACAAACACCCCCCCACCTACAGGCGCACCCGCCCAGAGCAGGCCCACCCAGTCCTGGCTGCGGCTGAGGCTGTGGCGCGCGCACGTAGAAATCCTTCAAGTCGCATTCCGGATTTCATTGTCAATCAGATTAGTGACAGAATTGAAACAGACAAGTCAATAAATCAAGTCCGGAAACAGTTCCAACGTTGTCTATCACAAAACCCTTGTGCTCCTGAGGCTTGATGCTCGAGTGTAGGCATTTTGGGGTTCTTAGAAAATAAAGCAGGTTTCCTCCCCGCAAAAATGTTGTAGCCTTCAGTACCCATCTGCTTTTGGAGGCTGGCTTCCCCAGAAATGTAGTGCCTCCCGCAGCAGCCTCATCTCCTGGCACCCTCGGGGCCATCTGGCTCTTTGACTTCTGAGGGAGAAAGGGGCGGGGCAATCCATGGAGTAGGGACCGTTCAGACCTGAAGGAAAGCAGGGTGATTCCCCTAGGAGTTCCACCTCCACAGGTTTTATCCTTTGGATTTCCGCTTCGTGCAAATTCTAACTACCGACTACATGACGACAGGGGACAATTATGAAGGAGACAGTGTTTATTAAACTTCAGGGTAAACACGGATCTCCTGGGGGTCTTCCTAAAACGGCAGGTTTTGATGCTGCAGGTCTGGCTGGGATGGGGGCCTGGGGTCCCCTGGGCTGGAGCTTTAGCAGGCTTCTAGAGGATGCTGTTCTTGCAGCCATGCTAAACAGCATCCTGTAAGAGATACTGAAAAAAAATCTGAGCTTGTTCTTGGCTTCATGAAGTATAATAGAGAAAATAATTGTGTGTATTTTAATATGTGGTGTTAAAAATTAACTCACAATGCAAAAGGGAGCATAACTCACTGCTCTCAGATCGATTCCAGTTCATAGTGACCTTACAGGATGGAGTTGAACAGCCCCTGTGGGTTTCTGAGGCTATTCATCTTCACAGGAGCAGAAAGCCTGAGTTGGCTTTCTGGAGTGAGTGGCCAGTGGGTTCAAACTGGTGACCTTAGACTGTTAGCAGCTGAATGCATAACTCACCATATTACCAGGGCTCCTGAAAAAAATGGACATAGAGATGATAAACAGCAGAAAAAAATGGTCCGGTAAATCCATATTGGAGAGTCTCCAAATCACCAGGAGTGATTAGAAGGCTACTGGGGCCAACGACTCAGGGGATATGATATCAGGCCTCAGTGAACTGCTGGGCCTTCGTGCATTTTTCTTGCTGTGTAAGCCTGCCTTTGTGATTTGGGTTAGAGTTTGTGGTGAATTAACTTGCCTTTGTTGTTTCCTTTTGGAAGGTAGAGATTAATATAACTTTCATTAAAACTAAGTGAAAGAGAATTAAATAGATTCATAGTAAAAGAAGCGAAAGTTGGCTAAGAAGTAGTTTATAATTTCAAGCCAGAAAAATAGGAACGTTTGCTAAAGGATAGCTAGATGGACACTTATGCTTTTAAGTCTGGGGTGAGGGGCTGGGGGGGCCAACAAAATAAATTATTTCCATTGTATTGTCACCACTCAAAGTATGAGAACAGCTGGCCCCCAGAGTAGAAAGCAGCCTTAGAAAGAAGATGCGCCACATATATGTAACCCCCTTCCAGGGGGACGAACAACAGAAAAGTCGATGAAGGGAGACAGCAGTGGGTACAAGACATGAAAAAAAACCCCAAACAATAATTTATAAATTATCAAGGGTTCATGATGGGGAGGGTGAAACGAGCTGATACCAAGGGCTCAAGTAGAAAGAAAACATTTGGAAAATGATGATGGCAACGTATGTACAAATGTGCTTGACACAATGGATGGATGGATGGTTATAAAAGCTGTAAGAACCCCCAATAAAATTATTTTTTTTTAAGAAAAGACATGATACTTTGTAACAGTTACAAGATTACTGTATTACTATTCTTTTTCAGACCCCACCCCATTTCCGAAGATGATGATGTTGTTGTTAAGTGCCACTAAGTGGAAGACAACACACGTACAACAGAAGACAACACTGCCCAGTCCTGCACCATCCTCACAATTGTCCTGTTGCATCCCACCAGTCCATCCATCTTGTTGATGGCCTTTCTCTTTTCGCTGCTCCTCCACGTCACAAAGCATGATGTCTATTTCCAGGCACCGATCTCCATCTCTTCTGATACCGTGTCCAAAGTGCAGGAGACGAAATCTGGCCATCCTTGCTTCGAAGGAGCGCTCTCGCTGGACTTCTTCCAAGACACATTTGTTTGTTCGTTTGGCCGGCACTTTCAGTATTCTTCGCCAGCACCATAATTTAAATGCATTGATTCTTCTTTGGTCTTCCTAATATCTATATTTAAAAACTTCCTTTCTTTGATGGAGGACACAGCTCTTTGTTGAACTGTCTCCACCCTGTCTCCTTGAAAATCATATTCAATCAAACTCTCCCCCTACCCCCACTACCTCCCCACGTGTCTTGTGAATTGGCATATTCTTGGCAGGCAGCCTGAATCACTTGTGTTGAATGAACAAAGATGTGTTTGCAAAGGCACTGACCCAGGAGTCTAACAGTGGTGGGCTCCAAGTAGACCTCTCGACAAGATACGCGTGCCCCTGCTCCACACACTCCTTTTTTGCTAGAAAAGGAATGAAGAGAGGGGTCTCGGGGAGGAGATGAGCTAGTCAGGGTGCGATGTAACAACGATGAGAAATACAACTTTCCTCTAGTTCCTAAAGGTTTCCTCCCCGCTCCCACTACCATGACTCGAATTCGACCTTGCAAGTCTGGCTAGACCAGAGGAGGTACACTGGTACAGATAGGAACTGAAAATACAGGGAATCCAGGGCAGGTGAGCCCTACAGGGCCAGTGGTGTGAGTGGCGAAACAGGGAGGGTAAAGGGAGAATGGGTAGGAAAGAGGGAACCGATTACAAGGAACTATATGTGACCTCCTCCCTGGGGGACAGACAACCGAAAAGTGGGTGAAGGGAGACGTTGGACAGGGCAAGATATGACAAAATACCAATTTATAAACTATCAAGGGCTCATGAGGGAGGGGGGAGCGGGGAGGGAGGGGAAAAATGAGGACCTAATGTCAGGGGTTTAAGTGGAGAGAAAATGTTTTGAGAATGATGTACAAATGCGCTTTACACAATTGATGTGTGTATGGATTGCGATAACAGTTGTATGAGCCCCTAATAAAATGTTAAAAATAAAATAAAATAAAAAAAGAAAAGGAATGAAGATAGTTGTGTGAGGACTAAATGGATGTGAGCAGGCTTTTAAAACCGTACAATGCTTGCAATGGGAAGGTGTCAAATGAGGCCACTGATGTTTAAGAAGTATGGAGTTAAGCAACTGACAGCTCAAAGGCATGGGATCCATCGAGTCTGCACAATAGAGGACAGGAGTCCTGGCAGAGGATAGGATTTTGGAGAGAGGAAGCCAAGGGGTGAAAGGTCATTTCAAAAGGCATGAAAGTGGGCCCCAGCACACCATGAAAAAGGGAGGAAGTGCAAGAAATAAAATGGGGGGCAGGGGTGGGGAAGCCATCAAAGTAGAGTTTTCAGAGGATAATTTTTTAGATGATATGCTGTGGGTACCATGCATTTATGAGCTCCTGAAAGCAATCATGGTTGAGGCCCCGCATAGCCCCGCGCCCCCCCCCCACAGTTGGCTAGAAGTCAGGGACACAGAGGTGAGCACCTCTTCTCCGAGACCAGGATGGAATTTGTCAGATTCAGAAATCTCTCACATGTTTAGCATTTCACCACACTCACCACCCTGAATTGGGGTGGAGATGGGGGGTTTGACAGGGAGGGGGTACAAAGCCTGTCACGTGACAGGGGCTTAAGTGTTTGCTTCCCCCT